CTCAGAAAGGTACAGGAACAGTGAGTGAGTTGAAGCAAACCACAAGGACTGATAGCCCTGGAACCAGATTACAGGCCTGGGAGTCCTGCGCTGGGACCATACACCACACTGATTCCTGGACAAAAAGGACTGTGTGATGCTGCCTGGAAAACACAAACTGCTATGATCAGGTTCCCCAACTCTAGGACCCAAGGGCAACTCTCTCCAGGCACAAGCCAGGGGCAGGAAGCACACCCATCTTCTTGTTCTTTGTCTTCAGAGTAGGAATGCCCAAGGCCTAAAGCATTCCCGCCACCCTCCAAAGCCACCCCTTCACCCACACATGTACATCACCTTTGTCTCTCCCGGGGAACATGCCCTGCCCATGGATACAGAGGCCAGATGTAGAATTCACTCTGGCTCACACCCTCAGGGTACAAGATGCTTGGTAAGAAGAGCAGAGACCCCCAAGGTTAGAGTGTGCTTAAACCCAGTGGCAAGGCAAGCCCATGCCACTGAAGTTGGCTGGGTAGACAGGACAAAGGTAACAAAGAATAGTTAGTGATTGGGAAGGCTGGAGGACTGGGAGACCTAGGGAACTAGAACAGAAAACAAGTGCATTCATGATAGAGTGAGGAGGAGCAGGGGCTTGGCCTGAGGGCAGGGTATGCCCAAGCAGAAGAACAGGTGGCAATGCCCAGACAAGGTCATCTATGAACCTAAAGGACTTCTGGCAATCGTCCATGCCAGCATTTGTCCCCTCCTGGAGTGACAACCATGTCCCCTGCTTGCCCTCTCCTGGAGATGTGACAGGGAAAAAGACGAGCCTTATCTACAGAGAGAGCTGTGTGCTGGGAGTAGAGGGAGCAACAGGCATTTCTTCTGAGGCAGAAAGGCAAGGGTGGGTCAAGGGCTTTCTTTGGGTGCCTGACAAAAAAGGCCTCACAGCAGAACGAGGCCTGTGCTTTTCATGGTTGCAAGTTCTCAGTGGCTTCCTGTAGGAGGACATTGTGACTCTGGGAGGTCAGCGAGCACAGGATTGCAGTTCATTGGACAGTATTTGAATGAGAACAACCAAATGGCTACCTTTGTATAAACAGCATGTAAATGAGAACACCTGGTGGAATTCCAATCAAGAGTAGAGAAACAGTTGATGGGTTTGTTGATGAGCTCAATACTTCCTTCCTTATCCCATACGGACTCTCAGTGTATAAAGTCTGATGCCCCTAATAAACTTCGGCTTTAACCATCAGTCAGGGTCTATGCGTGTTATTATCGGCTCCGTGCACCAAATCCATCTCTGTGGGACAGCGACAGCTTCCCGTGCACTTAGAATGAAGGCAAATGCCTTCACTGCCCCCACCAGTCCCAAAGAGAACCCACCCTGGGCCTTCTGTGGGTACCCATTGCTGCCCAACTTCCCAACATACCCTTGTGGTTCTGATCTGAGCGTCTGTCTCCTTTTCATATTCAAGTTGAAACTTAATTCCCAACATGTTAGTATGGAGAAGCCAGGGACAAGGAGGATGGCTCTGCACTTATGAAAAGGGTTGGAGGAAGACAGATGAGGAGTTCACCTACCATCAGTGAGGGTCTGGTGCTCGCCAAACACGGAGCCTACCAGGACCTTGGGTTTGACCTTGTAGCCCCTTCAGATGGTGAGCAATACACTTCTGCTCTTTATAATTTACCCCCATGAAGGGATTCCCATATTAGTCTGAACTGACTAGGTGAAGTACTTGTGGTTCCCTCTGCTTTGAATGCATGTCAGACCCCCCAGATCTCCCACTGTCACTCTGTTTATGTGGCTGGCTCCACCTCATCCTTCCAACAGGAAGAATTAAGAAGGGGCCCTGGAAGCAGGGCTCATAGGAGGACTTGCTGGACTATAACTTCTCCCTAGCAAGTAGGCCAACTCCAAATCACCCTGCTATCTACTTGGGCAGTGTCCCCTCCTGAGCCCTGACTCCTTCTCCCCTGCCCTCTGCCATCTCTATGAGAATGCTCTTTGGCAAAGTCTGTGACCTTGCCTGTCCTGTCCACCCCAGCAATGCAGTGCCTGGCACAGTGCCTGGTACCTGGAAACTACTCAATAGATATTTGTGGGATGAATAAATGAATGAATGAATGAAGAGGTCTGTTGATTTCAATGTAACCTTGTAAAACCCAGGACTCAAATTCCCAAGGAGAATCTTTAGGTACTTCCTGTTGTTCTGTCACCAGTGGAGCCCCAGCTCACTTCTTTCTCTGTCTTGCTGAGTTCATCAGCACCCATCCTGAGCCAGCCTTGAGCTAAGGGCTATGTGCTGGATCCCCTCTTCCCACTCACTCAATGCCAGAGCCCTGACTCCACATTGTCTTCTCCTGGGTTTCCTCAAGTCTTATCCCTCATGCTGTAACCCACCACACCCCTCTTCTATGGGTCTTTGCTATGACTCAGCCCCAGAGTTGGAACATGTGGGAAACAGAGAGGAAGGTCTCCAAGGTCCCCGCTGTAGCAATGCATCTGCTATTGCATCTGTCCTTCCAGGAGCCAAAGCTCCCGTGCTTCCTCACTACATCAAGTTTTTCATAAAATGACAACAATCCCATCTTTTCAGGCATTTTGCTTGTGGTCTCAGGAGCTCTGTTAGCAGGTTATGGCCCTGGTCTACTTCCTGGCTTCCTCTCAGCTTCAAACTCCAACCCACACATGGTTCCCAAGGCTGCTTTGAGTTCTGAGCTTTCCATCATCCCCAGGGACCTGAATTAATGTGGTGTGGCAGTAGCCAGGGAAAATCACACAGCACCCAGGGTGGGCTCACTGCCCAGGAATGGAACAACATGCTCAGTTCCATGACTCTAGGGAGGAGACAGAAGATGGGGGTGACTGGAACAGGAGCCTCCCAGGACTGTCTCTTAGGGTGCCCCTTGGCCATGTCTGCAGGGAATTAGAATAACCTACCTCCCAGTGAAGGGAATTGCTATACTATAGGGCAAGAAGTTCGGCTGAGGGGCTAAGACACCCTCTTCTCATCTCATGTTGGATTGCTGGGTCACATTCTCAGCTCCAGCTCCAAACTCAGTCTTTTGTCAATCCTAGCCGGCAACAGTGATGATTCAAGTAATTGGGTCCTGGCCATTATATGGGCATTTGAGCAGTGAACCAGTGAATGAGAGCACTCCACCTTCCAAATAAATAAAATGGAAAATATTATTAAAATGAAAAGACTCCTGGGTGAGCTGTGAGCTTTGCCAGCAGCAAGCATGGCGTGAGGTGCCACAGGGAGTGGGGGTTTGTCTTGGTTTGAACATTCGTGGAGGCAGAGGTCAGGGTCCTTTCTGGTGCCGTCAGTGACAGCTATGACGTCAGAGGTGAGGTTGTGAATTGGAAAGGCTTCAGAGAAGAACACTAACAAGAGCACAGACTTGGAGGAGGGAACAAGACAAAGCTTTGAGCAACATCCTCAGAGAATCCAACAAGGGACCACAGGTACTTGCCAGAGACCGAGCTGGGGCCAGACCTGCCAGCCCATTTCTGGGGTCCCCTGAACCCAGGGACCCAGAGGAAGCCATGGAACCCTTTCTGTCCTTCAGACCTGGTCTCCAGACCTTCTTGAGGGTTCTGCCATGTGGGCACAGCATCTCCAAAGTGATGCTTTTGTTCCCCCAGTGACCCAGGGAGGAATGACAGCTTCTGTGCAGGGCAGGGCCTCCCTGCTGTGTTCAGGTCCCCTTGCTGTCTTCCAGCAGAGAAGAGGGAGCCTTCAGCAGCCACGTATCGCCAAGCACAGAGCTTCTGTGTCAGCAGCCACAGTTTCCCTTGCACCTCCGGAGGAAGTGCTAATGAGGAGAATGGTTTTGTGGAAGAGTTGTGCCTGCCTGTGGTAGCAACAGTTTGTTCTTTGAGCTCCTGAGAATCCAGGCTTTTACACAAGGAACATAGCTTACAGAGGGCAAGGTGTTCATCCTAAAATGGAAGGAAGACAAGATCCCAGGCATCACTGAATGTGCCTGGGGCAAGCATCCCTAAAGCAAGACTCCCAGAGGGGTACAGCTCAGCAAGATGCCAACAGCCTGCCCACCCCAGAGGCCCTGGACCAGTGGAAAACTGCCCTGGGGTGGGGCAGGGAGAGAAGCAGGATTGGACAGGCCAGGACAGGTTGCTGATTCTCATCTCTCCCAACCTCTGTGACTTTCACCTCCTCTGCACAGAGCTGAATGAGTAATCAGTGTTTACTGAGGCCCATAAAAGCCCTAACCAGACCTCTGTCCACTAATGTGTCCCCCTACACAGTGACACTAGAATGACCTGGCTCTCACTCACCTCCCACCAGCTGCCAGGCCTGTGCCAGGCATGTAGGGGCAGAATCAGGGAAGCCCAGTGGACACTGGCTCCTGCAACACACGCAGGGGACTTGGGGTCTTCAACCCTCTACACCAAGCTATGTTCAGATCCAGCAGGAGACAGGATCAGTTGCCTACTAAAAGTGCCCTACGGCACCCCAGTCTGGAATGGCACAACCACTCCCATGTCTGGCCGTCAGTCTCTGGGGAGCACACATACCCCAGTCTGACCCTCCCTGCCAGAGGCACAGGGCAGCAATGGCTGAGATGGGGTGGGCTGGACCTCAAGGGCCAAAACCATGCATGCTCCAATATCCCATCAGGGCTTCACTTCCAAAAAAGTACATTCAAAGAGAGAATCAAAACTCTCAAGTCATTGGCTGCTGAGCATTAAATTCTCAGTGTTGGGCTATTCTGCCCATAGACCCTTGTGTGACTGCACTGGCCATACACCCAGGAAACTGACCCAGTATACATAAGGAAAACCTCTGAACCTCAAGGCATTATGTGTGTAAGTGAAACCCAACACATCAGCAGCATGTGAAAGAATCTGTGAGCACCCAGATCCACAGGGTTACCTTTCAAATTTTTCCCAAAGCCAAGTTGAAGAGCAGCCAGCATCACTCTCTCTGTCCCAGAGTGCAGGATGGATCAGAAGCTGTGGGATGGGTAGATGAACTGGCATACAATTCCTCAGCATTAAGCTGAGCTTTATTCCAAAGTTCATACTTGCTAATGTCCAGAGGGCATTTCATAATAGAGGACAGGATAATATCAGAGCATCAAAGGGGAAGACCCGAGACCCGTTTCCTTTGCCCAAGAGCATTTGCCTCTGTTGTTCAGCAATTCCGCGCAAGCATCACTTCGCAGCAGCTTACAGAAAAAATTTTCTGTTGGCATTTGCTCCAAACAAGGCCCTTCGAATTTCCGGCATCTTCTGCTGGGCTGACAGTTCCAACCGACTTTCCAGGGTATTAGAAACCTTGATTCTCTGATCACTGCTATATACCTCCACGCCTCCAGCTGCGTTGGCAGCCAGGTGGGCCTCCGCATCAAGCCGAACCTGCACGGGTTTCCGGGAGGCTAGCACGTACTCAGGGATGGCTCTCTGCACCGCAGCCTCCACCAGCAGGACATCCTGGGGCCTGCAGCGCACAATCACCGTGGGCTCCAGGAGGCGGAGCAGGGCTTGCAGCACCAGCTTGTCCAGAAGCTCCTGGTAAACCTCTGGGTCCTCCACAAGCCTGCAAAGCCCTAGCTTGGCATCATTGAGCAATTCGGAGATGAGGTCGTCTCGGGCTCTCAGCACTGTGAGCCGTGCCTGATTCCTCGTCGTGGACATCTGGATCTTCTTCTGCTGCTCTATCTGCTTCTCCTTCTTCTCATAGTACTCCATAATCTTTAGTCTCTGCGTTTGCACGAGGCGCCCTTTCTCGATGTTGAACTCTTCCTCGGCTTTGGCATCTATTTCCTCTGCCTTCTCATTGGCCTCCTGCTCGATGAAAGCCATCATGTGTTTGATCTGCTTCTGCACGTCCACATCGCTCAGGGCCATGGCTGCACTGGCAAGGAGGCAGAGCAGGAGCTGGTGTACTTCGGGTGGCTGCGATGCAGGGCAGGGTGTCAGGATTCTACTCCTCCCCTGTGGAATGCACACAAGGAAGAAAGAGAAGCTTGGAGCCCATGGGCAGGAATCATGAGGGTCATCCAGACACCCTTCATATCACAGATAGGGAAGGGGGAGCGTTCAGCAAGGGAGAGCAACTAGTCCAAGACCACCCCCTGGAAAAACCAGAAGCAGGGTTCCACCCCTGCCAGACTCACATGTTTTTTTAGTTAGAACAGATCTAATCTAGGCAATGATAGCAAACACCCCCCTCCCCCCAAAAAAGGAGGAAATATCAAATTAATCCGTAAATGAAAAGCCCAGGCTCATTCTGAAGCTAGAGGGCTGGGGAGAGTCATTAAAACAACAACAAAAACTCATGATCAGGCAAGATTCAACCCAGAAAGGCTACCTGGAGGAATTTTGAGATCGTGCAAATGACGTGAAGTGGTAGACCCAAGCAGGTAATGACACCTTGGAGAGAGCTGGGAAGTGGGAGGGGGTGAAGGCAACACTGAAGTGCTTTCCAATCCCAAAATGTACACCTGAATCATCAAAGAAATCTTTAAAAAATTACATCTTTCCAAGCCTACCCCATACCTAATAGATTATAATCTCTACCAACAAGGTCTGAGATCCAGAACCTTAGAAAAATCTCCCCAGAATGCCTAATGAACTCAGAAAAAATGTTGCATGAATAAAATGAGGACAGCAATAGAGAGGTAGAATATTCAAAAACGAACCAGGGAATGTTTCTGGTGCAGTGGCTAAATCACTAGTTGGGATGCCCGCCTCCCATACCATAGTGATCAATTTAAGATCAAGCTACTCCAGTTCCGGTCCAGTTTCCTGCTAATACAATATCTCAGAATGCAGCAAATAATGGCCCAAGAACTTGAGTTCCTTCCACCCATGTAGTAGACCCAAACTGAGTTCTGAGCTCAGGGATTTGGCCCAGCTAGCCTCAGCTGTTGCAGCATTTGGGGGAGTGACTGACAAATACAAGAGAGATCTTTCTGTGTCTCTCTGTATTTCTTGGTCTTATTCTTTCCCTTTTTCAAATAAAGAAGAGCAAAATTTGGAGCTGAAGAATATAATAATGGCAAAAATTGACTAGAAGAGATTAGCAACATAATTAATCAGGCAGAAGAAATTATCAGCAAACTTGAAAATGGGTCATTGGAAATTATCCAGCCAAAGGAGAAAAAATAGCATTAAGGGAGAGTGAAAAAAATCTAAGAGCCTTGGGGAACACCATCTAATGAACCATTGAGTACATAATTAGTGTCCAAAAAGGAAAATAGTAAGAGGCATGAAACTTTTGAGGAAATAATGGTCACAATCCCCCCAAATCTGGGATAAAAAGTCATGTGATACACTCCATGTGATAGCAAGATGAGAAATAAAAATCAGATCAATAGATTCCAAAAAAGCACTTGACAAAATGTAATACTCTTCCATGACTGAAAACAAAACAAAAACAAAAACAACTCAGTGCAGAAAGAAATGATCTTAACATAATAAAGGCCAATATGAAAGTCCGTAACCAGCATCATATTCAACGGAAAAGAAGTGAAAGTCTTTCCTATAAGATTAGGAACAAAGCTGGAATTCTCATTTTTACCACTTCTATTCAGTTTCTCAATATCCCTGGTAGGAAAAATAGGCAAACAAAAAAATTCATCAGACAACCAAAATAAAAAGAAACATAATTTTTCCACAGCCTACATAAATATATATATATATATATATATATATATATATATAATTCCACTATTACATGTGGTAGGAGTAATAAGTAAATTCAGCCAAATTGTAGTTTGCAAAATCAACATACAGAACTTAGTTATATTTCCTTTTTGGAAAGGTGTATTTATTTATTTGAAAATCAGGCATTTGGTATTTATTTGAAAATCAGGCATCAGGCCCTGGCATTATGGCTTAATGGCTAAATCCTCCCCTTGCATATGCCAGGATCCCATATGGGTGTCAGTTTGTGTCCTGGTTGCTCTACTCTCATCCAGCTCCCTGCTTGTGACTTGGGAAAGCAGTTGAGGACTGCCCAAAGTCTTGGGACCCTGCACCTGTGTGGGAGACCCGGAGGAAGCTTCTGGCTCATGGCTTTGGATCAGTTCAACTCCAGCTGTTGCAGTCACTTAGGAAGTGAACCAGCAAATGGAAGCTCTTTCTATCCCTCCTTCTCTCTGTAAATCTGCCTTTCCAGTAAAAATAAAATATTTTTAATGGAAAAAAATCAGAATTAAAACCAGAGAAATTTTTCCATCCATTGGTTCACTTCCCAAATGACCAAAATGGCCAAAGCTGATTCAAACCTAAGCCAGGAGCCTAGCACTCCACCCAGGTCTCCCATATGGAAGCAGAGGCCTAAGTACTTGGATCACCTTCCACTGCTTTCCCAGGTACATCAGCAGGGCACTAGATTGGAAGCAAAACAGCTAGAACTTGAGCCAGCACTCATGTGGAATGCGTGCACATGAGAGGTGGGTTAATCTGCAAGATGTAAGAGGAAAATCCAAGTTCACTGATTGGAAGACAATCTTGTTAAAAATGAACATATCAACTAAAATGATCCACAAAGTCAATGTAATTCCCTTCAAAATCCCAATGGTGTTTTTGGTCGAGCGGCCCCAAATAGCCACAACCTTGAGAAAGAACAACAAAATTAAAGACTTTGTACTTGCTAATTAAAATATAAATGTAAAAATATAAAGTAATCAAAATAGTATGACTAGAAATGACAAACATAAACAACAATGGAACAGAATGAAGAGCCTAGAAATCAACTCACCAAGTGATTCTAGCAAGAAAATACAATGGTGACAGATAATCTCCTTAGCAAATGGTGTTGGAAAAACTCAATATCCATACAAAAGAATGAAACTGAACTGTTATCATATAAATACACAAAAATCAATTCTTAAATAGCTGGACATAAAATCTGAAATCATAAAAGTCTGAGAAGAAAATATAAGGGAAAAGCGTTCATAAACATTGGTCTTGGCAATAATTGCTTGGATTTTACACCAAAAGCACAGACAAAAAAAAGCAAAAATAAACATGATAATATCAAATTTAAAAGCTTCAGTGATGGCAAACAAGGAGCAAAGTGAAAAAAAAAATGATCTAAGGATTGGGATAAAATGTTTACCAACAATATATCTGATAAGAAGTTACTGTCCAAAATATAACAGAAACTCCTGTGATTCAATGGAGCAAGCAAACAAAAACCAAGAACAAATAACCTGATTAGGAAAATGGGCAAAGGCCATGGCCATTTCTCCCTAGAAGATGCGTAGGTACATGAAGAGGCTCTCTCATCATCACTAATTACCAAAGAAATGCCAGTGAGAACACAGTGCTGTGTCACCTCGCAGTTATTTATATGATCATTATTCAAAAAAGACCACCATCCGTGTTAGTGAGGGTGTTCAAAGCTGTGGGACACAGCACGAAAGTTCCTCCAAACAAATCTGAAATACCAATGACCCAGCAGTCCCACTAATGGGTATTTATGCAAAAGAACCAAAAGCAAAATCTTGAAAAGAAAGTTACGCACCCATATTCATTGCCAGGTCATTCACAACTTGGCAACAGGTGGAAGTAACCAAAATGTTCATTGATGCATTAACAGACACAGGAAATGTGGTGTGTGCATACGAACGAGGGAGTATGATCCAGTAAGAAGGAAATTGTCTCATGTGTTTCAACATGGGTCCATCCTGAGGATACCATGTGAAGTGGAACAAGCCCGTCATAAGAAGACAAATATGGGAGGTTACGTTATAGCAGCTGTCAAAGGGAGACAGAAGACACTATGGTGATGGCCAGGGGCCAGGTCAGGGAAGATGGGGTGCTCCCAGGGAGTGGGCACAGAGTTCCAGTCATGCTGGACGAGTGAAGGACAGCAATCTGTTAGACAACAAAGTGCTTAGAGTTGGCAATACAGGACTTTGCACTTTAAAAATATGCTTAGAAGGGAAATTTTTGTGTCACGTGATTTTACCACCCTTCCCCCACAAAAAGAGGGAAAAGGATCCTGGTCCAAAACGATGTGTTAATAGCACACCCCGAGCAAGGCGAAACACAAGCCAATATTGGTAACAAAAGCCACGTCCTTGGGCTCCACCTCACAGCTGCCATTAGAAGTTTACAGGAACATCATTTAGCCTATCCCCTCTCCGGGGAGATACTTTAAAAAGAAAAAGTTACAGTTCTGTCAATACAGCAAACGATCCTCTATTCCTAAATAAGTCAATGAAATGGTCACCATGCGAATGTCCTTAGATAACTCTGCTATCATCAGGCTTGGGAGCACCTGTCTGTGAAAGCAGAGTATCAGACACAGGAGCCCTTAGCTTATGCGCGTAGAGGGAAAAGCACAAAACACAAACCCTTACCAGTGCCCCCAGCCAGCAGCCTTCCTTTGCTCTGGCGCCAGGAGTCCACAACAGAATGTGGAATTTGGAACACGCACTGCAGCCTGGCGCTGTTGCTTTCTTCTTTGTACAGACGACCCTCACAGTCTGACCAGGCAACTTGGCATCCATAGAGACAGGCTGTCACAGGGGAAGGCTGGCCAAGTCTGCCAAGAAGAGGCCAAGAGGGATTTCCTTGGCACCTGGACCCTGGCTGGGGGTTCTCCTCGCACACTTGGAATTTGAATTAAGTTGGCTCACAGTTGACTTCAGCTCTGGGGTGGGATTGCCTGAATAGATGTGTGTATTCCCAGCCGGGTGGTTTATTGGTGTACTCATGAAAAAGTCAGGTGTCAGGTTGGTGGACATTGGCCTCCTTTCTTTGAATTTGGATGGCACAGGGAGCCACATTCTAAGGTTGTTAATGAGACATCAGCACAAGGAAAATTCTCCAGATGAATACCCACCCCAGGTGCTACTGTGCCCTGTCTATGAGACAAGGCATCTCTCTGT